AGTATTAACAGTAATTCTTCTGATATCCAGTCTTTTGATCATTGTTATCCTTTTGTTTCATCATTACCCACGGCTATACTTTATGGAGAAATTGGAACTTCTCGTTTTTCGAGTTTTATTGAGCTACTCTGGCCCAAAATGGAGGCAGGAGAATTGAGATTGTGTGTCCGTCATTTTGTGTTACATAAAGAGAGAGATCAGCTAGTGCTGTCTGGCTATGGAGTCCAGTTAGCTATTAAGAGCACCGAGTATAAAGCAATGGATGACACTAAAGTTAAAGAAGGTAAGAGAGAGGAAGGAGGGAGAGAGAGAGAGGGAGAGAGAGAGAGAGAGGGAGAGAGAGGATAAAATGGTATGGTAAAATGGTAAACAGTACATGTGCATGCACATGTACTGTATGTACACAACCAAATGTTATCGCCTTAGATCAGGACTGATATCAGTCCTGAATCATGGTTTTCGTGTAATCAGTCATGATACAACTAGCAATGATACAATCATGATAAAATTTGTACTGATCCATGCCAGAATATCAGGCATGATCTAGAAAGTAATGTGTCAGGGCTGTACCAGTATAGGATATCAGACTTGGTCCATTATTTTGGGGCAAAAGTGCTGATTCAGGCATGATAACATTTGGTTGTGTAGTTTTTTAGCTAGGGGGCATTTTCTAGTGTACACTTATGTTAAATGGAAGGCATGCCAAAGCAAAGGGGATTGCAGATTATAAAAATAATTATGTACAGCTACACAGCCAAGAGCTTGTGATTGATTCATGAATGATGTCAGTCTTGATCCAGCCTAATGCATCCTGATTGAATCATGGATGTTGGGCAGCTAATATGGCAATGAGCCTAGTTGAATCTATCAGCCTTGATACAATCATGCTGGAATTCATACTGGTTCAGCCAGAGCAACAGGCATGATTCAGCAATGATGCCTGTCAGGCTGTATCAATACTGTAATCAGGCTCGATTCATTGATTTTGGGCAGTGTCTTGTATCATACATGTGAACTCTTGGATGTGTAGAGCACACATATACATGTACCATACATGGAGACTAATGATGCATTCACAACATTTTATGAACTTATTACAGTGACTTTGTGTGTGTGTTTTATTAGGTGATGGCTCTAAGTCAGTGGATGAAGCTGATTTGATTCATGAAGTTGGCGGATTCAATTTTACACGATTAAAGTATATTTTATTTTTAAAAACATGTACATGTAATAATGCCTCCTTTTAATGATGCATATTGCATCTGTATTATCTATTGCATGTTAATGGGCAGCACATTTACTCAAAGATAAATTAGCTCAAATATTTCATTATTTCTGCCCAAAATTGATTGTGATAAACACATGTGCAGCATGGAAACCACAAACCACACCCACCAAAAACACATGTTCAAACCACAAGAGCACATGTTTTACTGAGAAGAACAAGAGCTCAGGGCTATCATGGCTCATCAGACATTAGGGCTGCTAGGGCTGTTCAGGGCTGCATTGGGTATCATCTTGATCTGTAGTACTTGTCTTTGTTGTTTGGAGGTAAAGCTTTAGTAGAGGTACATTGTATTGCCTCTTGTTAATAGTTAGCATAGACACTTGCTGCCATTATTATTAGTAACTGCTACCTGTACATGTAAAAACAGTTTAGTACCAGCAAAAACTGGAGGGTCTGCCTAAGCACTTAGCAACTCTAGGATCAATAATGGTTTAGGTGGTATGGTTTATCTTATTATCTTTCTTTCTCTTCTTTAAGGGAGAGATATGGAGCTCTTGGTAGTCAATTGGATGATTTCAAGAAACACTTACTAGACCAGAAGAAAGACCTACCCCAACTAAAGGCATGGGAAGTATCAGGTAAGGAATCACTTGTACATTACAATGTACATACATTGAAACTATCTCTCTCTCTCTCTCCCCCTCCCTCCCTACCTCCCCCCCCTCTCTCTCTCTCTTTCTTTAGATTTAGGTGTTCAGACAGTTCAAAGTGTATTGGAGTCAGAGTTTCCATGGAATACTCTTCAAGAAATATCTCATAATCTACCAGTCATTGCAAAGTAAGTATGCAACATACATCTAGATGTACATATTGTATAGCAGGAAATTCTGGAGGGAGCTGAATTTAGCGTTTTGAAATCCCATTGCCAAAATTAAATTATTTGCCATTTTGAGCCATTATGTGCATGCACACAATTTTGCTAAAATGAAACTTGCCAATCACCATGGATGGAATTTAGTATTTTGCTCAAATTTACATCTCCTATTGTAAGGTGACCTTTTACATGTATATAATTCACCATGTTGTATAAACTTGCTAAATAGCCCTTTTGTTATGGTAAGCCATAAAACCACACTACCACTACTTCCACAATCACAATTTGCTGACAAATATTGCTGTTGCTATTTCTTTAGATTTATTTATTTATTTGTTAGTTCTGCTGCTTGTGATCACAGCATTTTAGTGTATATGGTGCATGTACAGTGTATGCATGCACTGTATTTTAAGATAAAGACATTGCCTTTATACTTTAGCATCTAAAATTATCTTTAATCTGTACAATTTCCATTTTATATTATATAGTGGAAGTTTTGGAAGGGATTAAATTTGGCAAATTTGGCATTTTGATAGCCATTTGCGAAATAAAAACCTGCAATTTTGAGCCATTATACGCATGCTCAATTGCATGTGGCCACAAATTCGCCAAATTAAAATCCGCCAATCACCAAAGTTTAGCAATTCGCCAAATTTTAGCCCCTCCAAATTTTCCCGCTATATGGTAATCATTTTATTTGATGATTTATTTCCCTGTAGGACTCTATCTAGGCTCCCTGTATCAAGAGATGTAAAGACTGATATAGCTTACAACCAGAGAGTACTACAGCAAGTAGGAGTGGCCCCAGGTGACAGTGTATTACTACTGAATGGACTCATACTTCAAGAAGATGACATGAACGTCTTCAGGTAGGTGTGGCTTTGTAGTCATAGCAACCACTAACCACGCCTTTTTATAGTATTTTAGATTATCTTAAGAGAGAGTCAAGACTGTTGTCTGGGCTTGAGGGGCTGGGAATTCCGTCGAAATATTTTGTTCAGATGGTGTCGTTAGCAGTCCACCCACAGCACAGCACCTTTGCTGTTGATATGAGGAATGAGTCAGTATTGGTAAGTATGACATCATGTGACATTAATAAGAAAGTGATAGTTTTTAAAATTACTCAAAAACCAGGCCAAATACAGTATAGCTCCAAATATTTTTGTCGGTCAAAGTTTTTGTCAAATTTGTCAGGTATTTTACTTGATGAAATTTTTAACCGACGAAATTTTTGTTCCACGTGGGTAGTATGTGGATTAATAACAAAAATGACAAAAATTTTATTGATGAAAATTAATTTTAACAAGAATTTAAGATTTTGATGAAATTTTTGACTGAAGAAAATTTGAAGCTATACGGTACCTTAATTGATGTGATGTGATTTGTGATTATTGTGTTTGTGTTGTTTAGTTTATTAATAATATTGAGGAAGATAAAAGATATTCTAGGTGGCCATCATCAGTCACTGAGGTATAGTACAATATTCATGTACATGTACTGTATGTTTGTGAATTGTGTATACATGTACATGTAAGTTATGATTAACCTCTCTCTCTCTCCCTCCATTAGTTCTTGCGTCCAGCATTCCCGGGTACGTTACGTCAGATCAGAAAGAATGCTTTTACAATTGTAAGTAATGTACATGTACATGTACTTATACATGTAATTGTTACTGTAATTTTATACATGTACATGTACATGTAATTGTTATGAACAGAAGTTAGGGCAGTTTTATTATCAATCATACGTGTATATGAAGGCAAGTAACACTGTGATATAACACTGTGATACAACATTACTGTTACAACCAGAAGTCCCTGTACATGATGTCATGTTAATGATGTTATGTACCTGACATGTGTAATTACAAGAGATGGAAGACATGTATGTTTGTTTCTTATGTTAATTTGTACTTTTAAAGGAGCACGGACACAGATTAGCTTTTTCTTGATAAATAATCAAGATACATACATGTGTATTTGGTGTATTTACAACTACATGTACACCAGAAGTTCTCCAGAGATTTATGTAATTATGTAACCATTGAAAATGGTGCACCACATACATGTACACAGTTTAATGGAAGATGAAGAGGAAGCCATCCATACCTCAATCATAGAGGGTCTTTAAACTCCTCCTTGCTCAGATCAAGACCATATTCCTCCTCTGCCAAAAGCTTTGCTAATGCTATGTTGTCTGGCATAAGTTCCTGCAGGTCCATGAACTGGTTGAGGTTAATCTTCTCGATTACTTTTCCTGGGACTGGTGGGAGAGAGGGCGATATGATTACGCCAGAATGTGTGGAATCAGAGCGAAATACTGTTTCCGTTACTTACATAATGGGAGCGGCACCTGAGAGGGAGAGCAGTCAGCCATAGACTGGTCCTTCTCTTATGAGATTGCTACTCTACTGATGTGAGTGTGCCTCCAATATGTTGCTCTTTCTTGCTACAATGTAAATCTTTTTTTAATATTTTTAAAAATTTGTTTAATGATCTAAATATTAGTCATAGTGATTCAGGTTTAGCTTTGTTGTATTCCAGCATATAAAGGACTTGGTGCTGCATGGCCACGAGGTAATAGTAAGGTAAGGTATTAGTCTTTGTAACTAAGGAAACACTTATGACTGAAGATCCAGAATCCTCTCTACAGCATCTTCTAATGTTTGTTACCATGTATATCCTTTTTAGCATGTCTGCTGAGGAGAAGGAGGTGTTGATGGAGATGAGGATACTGATCCAGTAATGAATAGTAGCTCTTACTGCATCTTTTCAACGTTTTTACTGCAGCATCTATAGCCTGCTTCTGCTCTGTTTTAATTTTGTCTCTATATTGCTCAGGATAGTGGCAGCAAGCAAGAGCCTTTATGTAATCCATTGTATTGGTCCCTTCCTATACCTCGATACCTTGCAGCTACAGAAATACTACACTAGGATCCGGATGATGATGCCATACCCGGGACAATGAGTATTTCTTAAACTGGAAGATGATGGACCTTGTTACTCTGGCGATGACTTGGAATTAGAAGTTTCTGTGTTGTGAACTGCTGGTGGCTCTCATGCAGTTGTAGTCACTTAGTACAGGTGGAAGAGAGGAGACTGACTGGGTGACTGCCTCTGTGAAGTGAAAGAACTCTTTTACTACATTACCTGTCTTATATTATCGCATCCTTATATTGACTGTCTGTATTATGGTAAGTTTAAGTAATAGCTCTTTTTTTCTAAAATTTGGCTCTGAAACCATTTATCATCTTGATAATCATCATCTTGATAATTGGGTAGTGTAAGGCCTAGTACACAATACCAGCCTTGTGACTGGAAGTGCTGTACAAGCCAATGGCATGCGCGTCAATAACGCAAGAGTTGAACTTTGGTCAACTCATGCGTTAACTTGCAGCGTTTGTACAGCACTTCTGGTCCTCTTCCTGTCGCAACGCATCATATTGTGTACTAGGCCTAAGAGTTACTTGTGACTGAAGACCCAGAATCTACTGTACCACATCTTCACCATGACTCTATTACTATATATCATACTATATTAGCAGCTTATATTGCTGTGTTGTTGGTCTGTAATCTTGTTTGTGCTCATGAAATGAGCCAAAACATTTTTGTGTCCATGTGCTCCTTTACTGAACAACTTCTGGTTGTAACAAGGTCTTGTACTGCAGTGTCACAGTGTGAATTAATTGACATCAAGAGCCCATATAGAACTTAAAGAAAGGAAGGGTAAGAGCTTGAAACTCCAAACCAATTAATAAAAACGGTATCTTAATGTTGTAACTAAAAATAGGTGATTGAAACTGCACCCTTTAATCTTAAACAGGATGCTTCTGGTTCTTCTAGTTTACTTTGTATAGGAATGAGTCTTTTTCCAGTGGTGACGTCTTATTGAAGATTCTTCTTCTCTTGTGTACCTCATAGGTTGGGTCTGGTTTTATAGTTGCAACATTAAGATAATGTAGCTAGTGCTGCTTTTCATTAATTGTGTGGGAGTTTCTTGCTCAACCCTTTTGAGGGCACCTGTTGATGTTAATTATTATTCTGGTTTTTGAAGATAACAAATATATCATTATTTTTTGAAGATTTGCGAACTTAAATTCCATGAAATCAGTTTATTATACTGTACAATTCGGCTGATTAGTGGAATTTGATTTTGTAAAACTTCAGATACCGGGAATTCACGAAAATTATCCTCAAAAACCAGTCATACATGATACCTAAAGAGAGTATCTAATGGTTTTAATTTTAATATAAATTGATTGATAATATATATATATATATATATATATATATATATCTCATAAGTATATTTTCCACTCATTTATTGGCAATGGAGGGAAGAAGTATATATATTACATAACATACCTCCTAAGAGGTATATATGTAGAGTTCTCCAATCCGATTGGTCACTGACTTGACAGGTGTATATATATAGTTAAATATACACCTGCCAGAGAGGAGTTATGACCTCTGAACTCTAACAGGGGTGCATTACATTTGTGACCACTCCTCTCTTGCCCTAGCTTACTAGTACTATCCTAGCTGTGTTATATGCCACAAATTTTGAAAAGTTGCTAGTGGGTTGCCACCTGTTTGGTTTTTAATAATATTCACAGCATTTTTGAGGCTAATAAAAGTGATAATAATGAATGAGGCTAAATGACAAGTGATAATAATGAATGAGGCTAAATGAAAATCAAATTGTTCAAAAAGTATTCAATTGTTGAATGTTATATTGACAGTACAACCTTGCATGTGAAAGAACTTCTCATTTGCTTTCAATTGCTTCTTGTTTTCATCAGCTCCTGCATCTCTATTGTCATCAAGTGGTTGTAGTGGCCCTGGTGGGGTTTCCTCTTTGACCTTAAAATCAGTATTTGAGAGCAAATTTGAAACTTCCATCTTCGTTTTTTCAGATATCCTCTCATATGTACGAATGCCTCCCAAACTTAAGTGACCACTTTGATCCATAATAGATTTTTCAGCTACTCCCCTTTCGTACATTCTGCTCACTGATGTGGCCCTAAGACTGTGATTGTGGACACCATCTACATTCAATTTTGCCTTAACAAACATACTCTTCAATTTTGAAGACAGAATATTGTGTCCAACAGGCGTCTTGTAATACCATGTAGTGTCATCTAAATTAAACTTCAATTTCGGCTTACAATAGAACGTGCCACTCTCTTTAGCTTCTTCAGGAAGCTTTCCTATATATAGCTCAAACAATGAAACGAAACATTTCTCACCAAGAGAAGGACTGGCATAATGTGAGACAATTTTGTTATCGAGATGTACCTGATGCACTAAACCTTGATGATTTTTGGACCCATGCTCCTTATAAATTAAACGCTTCACTTTTTGACCTTGATTGCATGGATCCTCTACTTCATCTACTT